ATGTATGTATGTATGTATGTATGTATGTATGTATGTATGTATGTATGTATGTATGTATGTATGTATGTATGTATGGGGATATACTGTATATATGTATGCATGCTTTATGTAGAAATTATAATAAATTTTATTATTATATAGATATGTATTTTGTTGCTATGTTTTCTTGTATCCATTCATTTTCAGGTGAGCGGACTGATGTTGGGTGTGTGGCCTTGTGTTTTCTTGGTGTATATTTAATATATTTTCTAATCTCTCCTTCAGTCTTTCTAATTACTGTTTCCTCTGTTTCCCCTCTTTTCTTCTCTCCTCTTTATATTAAAAAAAAAATCACTGATGATGAAGAAATTAAGAAACTGATATTAGGTTGTTGTTGTTTTTTTCCTACTGAAGTGAAAAAAGAAACCAAGCAGATCTCTGTCTACTGAAACCACACCAGGTGTCTCTTACCCAGCTGGGACAGTCTCGGACCACCACAGTAACGTCTCCAAAGACACGTGAGGTGTACTCCATGAAGGCCGGGTTGTGCAGACTGCCCTCCAGGTCGCAGGGTCCCACCAGCGCCCCGTGACCCAGGTAGCTCCACAGCAAGCCTCCCTGCAGCTGCCCCTGGCCCATGATCTCCTCCCCGGGCCCGACTCCTCCGGGACACTCGCTGCCCAGAGCCACGATGTGGATGGACCTGCAGGGGCAGAGCGTGGAGACGAATTATTCATGTCCGTCACGGAGCCGGTGCATCACCTGGGGGGCATGCTGCTTGAACACCGGGTTGTATATGTTTGTTAAATGAGCACCTATGTATTTAACGAGTTGCAGCGTAACTTACATTGTGGTTTTGTTCCGCTGTTGGACGCTATGGAGCCAGTGTCCGGTGCGTTCTTCCACGCCAGACCGCAGTCAGGGTCGCCTTTTTTTTTTCCGCAATGAGCCGCGGCTCCGCGCCGCCGTTAATCCCTCTCATCGGCCGCCGGCCCCCCGGGAGCCCGGCTACAGGAGAGTTCAGCGGTCACTCGCATGTCTMCGTCTCGTTATTCATTCATAAAAAAAAGAAGAAGAAGAAAAAAAGGCGAAGATCGAATCCCGTCCCGAACCGAACCGCAGCAGGCAGCGGAGGCACACCGGACAGCCCGGGCGGCGGAGCGGCAGCTGCGGCAGCGGTGAGAGGGTAAACAGCAGCGCCCATGGGCGGCAGAGAGGCGCTAACGAACAAGTTGTCAGCCGCAGAAAGACAAAATTACCCGCAGGAAGACGGGCAGCCTCGCGCCTCCGGACCTGAGAAATATGTCGGTGAATAAAAGAAAAGTCGGCGTCAAAGATCAAAAGAGGAGGGGGTTGTTCGCGCCTGACTCAGCAGCACGCACGCGGGCACACACGCKAAAAGCACGAGCCCGTGCACACACAAACACCATGCAGGACCCTGTGGTCTCTGTCCGAGCTGGGAGAGTTTGAAACGTTTCAGTCCGTCTAAAGGTTGTTTTTGATTTTTAAACCTTATTTTCTGTAAGCATACCTACTGCTGCTGTCTTTATCGACACATAACAACCACAGCAGAACAAACAGAAAAACTCAAACGCAGGAAGTCTTGCAAAATGATGTAAACAACGTTTAATCTAAAAAAATGTGTTAATTTAGTTGAAAGGGGCTAAATCAATAATGCACGATCTAAAACTGTACAGATATTTTGAATTTGATGTGAATTATAAACTTTTACAAAAACTGAGCAGAAATTATAAAAGTAGCCAAGGCCTTGGAAGTAGGGGTGCACAGGGTGCTGAAGCAGAGAACTTATATTTCAATAATTAATAAAAACTATTTCTTAGAGCTATGTATGTTTAAAATGCCAATTTTTAGGTCATTTTAGTTTTATGTGCAAAATGTTTACAAAAGGGAGGCGCTCTTCAGGGATGAACATTGACCCCCACCCACACACACACACACACACACACACACACACACACACACACACACACACACACACACACACACACACACCATTGGTAGTGCCCCTGGTTCATTCACAGCATAATGTTATTTATGAGAAAGAATTGTTTTTATAAGCCTAAAATACAGGTACTTGATTGCCAAGTTTGGATAACTTGTGTCCTTTTCTCCTTACTTCATGTTGTACATGTCAAACTCCAGGCCCGCGGGCCAAATGCGGCTGCAGGTTACATCCATCTGGCCCGCCTTCCCCACCACCAAAAACATTTTATTTTATCTTTTTGCTTGATTTAATATAAAAATGGATTTTATATCAAAAGTAAACTTTTAATTTATGATCCAATGCAACAAAATAAACTAATTCAAAAGGTGAAATATAACAATAATTGTCCAAACCCAGCTGTGGGCTTTGAATAACTGTGGCCCCCTGAGCAATTTAGTTAAATAGCCCTGTATTAATGTCTCAAAATAAGCTGCTTTAAAGCCAGCATTGACCATAAACTACATCTCCCATAATGCATGCTGATTATGCGTGGGAATTCCCTGTCAGAAAGTGGGAGTGTTCGGAATTCAAGACGGCAGCTTYTCACCGCAACTCAACAGTGAGTAAAACTCTTACTTGTACTTTTAATGGTGTTTCTGTATTATTTATTTCGCATTTAGTCCATTGTACACATACTTTTCAGTATTTATACGAGGACATGTTTAAACAATGTTTCTATGTACAAAATACCACGTAGAGCTCGGTTATTTTGTGTTAGCGGTGCTCAGCCGTAGCAGTGAGACGAGGAACGTGACGTTTTGCCCCCACTGTGCTCATGTGGCCCTCAGTGCTATATTGTGACTATCACATCTATAACTAATATAACGTCAGGAACACACAAATTTAAAATTTACAAAAAGTGGGTAGATAACTATTGTGTCATGACTGAAATATATATTGCAGACATGATTTAAAATATACAGCTTATTCATATTGAATACACCTAACTTCAAATATTCAGGGTTATATTTTTCATGCAAGTGCTTGACTCCTAAATTCACCTGTGACATGTTCTCACAACTGTGTAGTTTTAGAAGATTCCACTGTTGTTTTACTTATTTGTCACTAATTAAACKTTAGAAAAATGAGTGTGGTGGATTGGATTTAAAGGAGTTTAAAAGCTTTATCACCACTTTGTTGCAAACTACTATAGTTCAGAAAATRTGCCTCATTTAAAAAAAAGCTATATTTTCCCCCCTCCATCATCTAGAGTGCATAATGCTGTGAAAATGTTCTAATGGACGTTTTAGTGCCTAACAAAGCCGCAGGATGAACTTTACATTTAAACCTCTCAGGTGGCGCTGCGTGAGAGACAGATCAGTACAACCACATGGGCTCACGGTTATTATATTATTATATAGTCMCTCAGAACAGTTCTCCGCTTCGTGTGGAAATGTAATCTGTTCTGCACAGACACGGGCAGCCGGATGAGTCCGCAGTTCTGCTCAGTTATTTTAAAAATCAGACATCAGACTCTTCATGCAGAAGATGAGGAAGACTTTTGTCTAAAGGTGCAAAAACCAGAATCTGCGACAGCATGTGTCACATTTACTGCATGTGAAGGTGCCATGGTTGCAGAATAAACTCATTTTGGATATGGTAGATGAGATGTAACATTATTAGTCTTTAGAAAATTTGTTATCATTTGTCTCCACCTTTTTTTCTCTTTCAGATCATTTTTATTTATTTATTTTATATTAAGAATAGCCAGAGGAAATTTCAGAGTTTAATCAGAGCATCCTCTGTCGATGTAATGCGTAACATCAAACAGGGCGCTGAATTTTAATTCGCCGCAACAACTGCAGATCCATGCAGCTCACACGCCGCCACTGTCCCTCAGGAACCCCCTGCTTGGCAGTTTCCTCACACGGTCGACTCCTGATCTTGACAAGCATCGTTTGACCTGCTGCAAAACGACAAACAGCTTCAGCGCCGAGTCAAGATGTTCGCTTATTAGAGGCCTGCGTCACCCAAACGTTTCACTCCCATGCGCTTAATTTCCCCTTCACTGCTGTACATTGACTAACTGCATTCGAAACTCCACACACACTGCTTCTGCAGATCTGGGTCCACATCACCAAATTAAATGTGGATCAATGAAAAATAATCTGATTACAGAGACCTGGCTTGACCTCTTAAATCACACGGCCATGACCAGTTTAGATTCCATTCAAGCAAACTTTAAATTAAGTTTGTGTTTGGACATTTCAAAGAATACATAGTAGATCTTTCTAACAGCTTTGAAGCAATTTAATAATCTAAATATGAACAATTTAAAACTGTTTTAGAGAAAAWATATATATATATATAATCTGTGCTAATCTGCTCACTTTTTAATGAATATACAACCCCTGGCAAAAAGTATGGAATCACTCGTCTTGGATGAGCACTCATTCAGACATTTCATTCWGTAAAACAAACTCAGATCAAAAACATGATACAATAATAAGGTCATTCCAAAGTGCAACTTGTTGGCTTTCAGAAACACTCAAAGAAATGAAGAGAAAACTGTATGGAAGTCAGTGAATGTTACTTTAATTAACCAAGCACAGGGGAAAAAAAATGGAATCATTCATTTCTGAGGAAAAAGGTATGGAA